TTTTTTCTTTACCTTGAGTATTAGATATTATTTTTATGATTTATCTTTCCATAATAAATCTGTAATTGTTTGGATTTATTCTTTTAATTACTATGGCCTTTTTTTAACATTTCACTTGAGTGTCAAGGATTCCTTCTATTATTATTATTATTATTATTATTTATCATTTGCACATTTCTTTATAATAAGAGAACGTTTTGATGATGAAGTCTTTGCCTTTCTGGAAAAAAAACTGATTTGTGAATGATAATTCTGTTTGAAAATTATTTTACATTGACAATTATTTTTTCCTAGAACTTGAAAGTTGATATTTCACCACAGTTTTTGGCTTCTGACTGTTGAGGAGTCAGCTCTGGGCATAACTGTGAATTCTTTGCATATAATCTTTGCTTCCTACCTATTACAGAATTGTGACCTTGGTTTTGCATAGTGTCACCTAATATCTGCCAAGGTATAGGTTTCTTTTTATTTTTCCTGCTTGGAGTTTATTGTGCCTCTTAAATCTGAGGATTTGAGTCTGACATCTACCCTGGAAAATCTCTGCTATTATCTCTTAAAAGCAAAAAGTAATAACACTTGTTATTAACTTCAGTGGAATACTTGTCCAAAATGTCTAGTCAGTCACATGGCCAGAATCAGCAGGTACATTAATGAGGTTTACATTATGTTTTATGTCATCTGAATTGTGGTAGAATCCTCTATTTTACAATTACAGTCATAAACCATATAATATTTCAGTCAATGATGGATTGAATTTATGACAGTAGTTCCATTAAAATTATAAAGAAGCTCAAGCTTTTTTGAATAAGAACACTGCAGCCGTTCTATTGTCATAGTGTATAGCATTACCCATGTTTCTGTTGATGCCGATGTAAGCAAATCTGTTGCTTTGCTAGCTATATAGAAGCACAGCATATGCAATTATGTTCATCATAATACTTGATAATGATAACAATGGTTTACTGTACTTTTTATTGTTCGAATATTCTCCTACTTAATAAAAAATGTTGGCTATAAAACATTATGCCACACAAAACTGGCCACAGTCTCATACATCACATGTTTACTCTATTTCTATTGCAACAAGAGGTCATATTTTAGCAATTGACAGATGCATTATATAAGCTTGTGTAAGTACACTCTATGATGTTTATGCAATGATGAAATCACGAATGATACATTTCTCAGAACATATCATTAAGTGACTCATGACTATATTTACCAACTTAATTAAAAAGAAAATCAAGAAGATGTTTAAAAAGAATCATATCATGTAAAATAATCAGGAAGAAGAAACTGTTTTCCAAGTAGGATGGTTCTAATATCAAATGGATATCCAGGCTGCTCTAAAATACAGAGAATCAAGTCTAAATACAAAAATGCCAGTATCACACAGGATGTTTACATTCTGTGTTTCTGTGGTACATGCAGGGAGAGAAAAAGGGGACATTTATTTTTATCCTGTTTAAAATTACAAATGAAAATTTTTGTAGGGGATATAGGTTAACTTCTATAGGTATCTCATTACAGTTCACTGTCTCAGCAAGGGAAATGTTTTGACCTGTGATTTGTGGTGTTAAGGTATGTTCCCCAGAAGAAATTACTAAGAGGTGGATGTAATCCTGATGTGTAAATCATCTCGGGGAAGGCTGACAAGTTGATATTACCCAACCCCTATTTTTTTCTCACAGAAAACATTTATATATTTACATGAAATGTGTCTAACCAGTGGGTTACTTCAGAAGATAATCTGTTATTTATATATGAGTCTAGTCAGATACTTCTGCATTTCTATTTATATGTGGATATTTCCTTTGAGATTTTTATAGTACTTCAAATAATAAATAGCCTGGCTTTTTTACCCTATTCATTCACATTTGCTATGGGCACAGTAGATTTTCTTTTCTACTGATGCCTAAAGTAGGTCTAAAGCTCTTCTCATAAATTTTTCAACACTCCTTGAAATGCCCCTTTTGTATTTTCATGGGGTTATTACTTGTAACAGCAAACATGCTCTGTTTAAAATCTGGACTGAACTTGTACAGAGTTAGCAGGGATGTCAACTTCAACATAGACTTTACTTCTACAAGTCTATGATATGACCAATTAAGAGCTGACCAGTTTTCCTTCCTTTGCTTAAAAAGCTTTAAATGTAAATTACAATATTTCCCCCACTTTAATCCAAAACAGGAAAATTAAGACAAAATTATTGTCCACTCATCTGATAAACTCAAGAACAAAATGGAAAAACCCCAAGGATATTTTTGTTGACCCTGTTGTATCTTTTT